TGTGTGTGTGTGTGTGTGTGTGTGTGTGTGTGTGTGTGTGTGTGTGTGTGTGATCATATTTGTTGGTCTGTGCCAGTAGAGAAATATCTCATAAATCACTGAYCAAATTTTAATGAAACTTTCATAAAGTTATGACTGCGTTTACATCAAAAACTAATCAACTTATGATCTTAACACAAGAAAATGGTAATAACTCAGTTAATTTTACATATATTAACAAAATGACCACGCAATAGTGTTCAAAACACCTGACTGCATGATCAGTGTGGTCACAACATAATATATATGATGTGTTATTACACAGCTGTGGGTCACAGTAGCATGGGTTGTAATTTTGTGTGAAAAATGYTAACTGAACTATGGTCATAGGTCTGCAAAATACAAAATCTGTTCCACTAAATACTGAGAAAGGGCTATAAATAAAAGTGATTTATTCTAATATATTCTTATCTTGGGATGCAGTCGAATAATATCCTGCCYTTTCTTACAGTTAAACACAACATGAAGCAACCTGATCTCAAATATTCAAAGGCTCATCTGAACATGATTGCTTTATTTGAGTCACACTTCAATAGAGACTTGTAACCTAATGGTGCCACACACTGATATTTTACAATAATCTTTGAATCAATAGGTTTATGACCATTCTTGACCTTTTTTTTTATAACTCAAGAATAGAAAAAAGCTCTTGATTTTTACAGTTGTAAGTCATTACATTTCTGAGAAAAATGGCAGAAAGGCTGTGACAAACAAAACCAAGTGACACCAACTCTTGTCCAGCAGCGTGTGATGACTCATCAAATGATATAAATCTCAAATAACAATGAAGTTAATCTTTGGAGACAAACGTTCTCTTTGTTTTCAGTCTTCAATATTGCCGTACAACGTTCCGACTGTTCGGCCTCATGTCAGGTCTGCAGAGCTGGCTCGGGCTGCAGCCTCTTTGGTTCACTGATCAAAGCAGTGAAGCATCTCTTTCTTTGGCCTCTGACCACAGAAATACTGCCCAGTGGAGGAGGACATGGCAAAGTCGTGTGGGTGGAAATTTTCCTAGAGGCAACTTTCACATCACTCACAAATGGGTTCCTCCAAAACCTTTTAGCTCTTGATGAGAAATGCATGTGTGTTTATGTGTTTTTTATTTTATTTTCTTCTAGATGAGCTTAAGGAGAAACTGCAGGGTTTCGTGTCAGAGACTAACAGCCAACGTCCAGGATTCATTAAGATGGTGCGGCATGCCAAGCAGGAGGGTTTGATCCGGTCCAGAGTGAGTGGATGGAGGGCCGCCACTGCCCCGGTTGTTGCCCTGTTTGATGCCCACGTTGAGTTCAACGTCGGCTGGTGAGTCACTCACCAGCACGGAGAAGTAAAATTAGCAAGGCGCAATAGATGAACGCTGGCTCTTGAGTCATTTGATCTGTGCAGGGTGAAGGAGGGGGGCTGTTTGAGAAATCTATTTTATTTTTAAACACAACCTTGCAAAGTTAGATTTTTAATTAAGAGTGCTTGTATTCACAACGAACAAGAATATATTACACTTTAATTAAGAACCTCAGTAGTTTGAACTCTCAAAATGTTAGTGTAACAAAGTGCAGCTGTATTCCAATTATTCAAGATTTATTTTATTAGGAACTGTACAAAACATGTGATGAATTTGTTATTTTTTCAAAAGATTGATTGGCCCTAATATCCCAAACAAAGAGCTAAAAGGGAATAGGATTTTTTGCTAACAACTGTATGTTCATTGTGAATTTTTTTAAATTTATTTAGAAATGTATTCATTTCATTAAAAACAAAACAATTATGAACAAGAGAAAATATAAACAATCAAAAATCTAATAAAATAAAAAGTGGAAGAAGAAGAAATCATATATCTGCCCCTATTATCCCCAGAATATGTTCAAACTAAAGTAATTTACACAAAAAATTAAAAATTAAAACATCAACTCAAGCAACAATTTGTATAGATTGACATTACGCTTTTCCATATTCCTTCAGAAAACTATCTGTAATATAATGGCAGTTTAGCTGACAGACAACAGAAAATGTGTGCAGAGGTTGTTCTAATGTTCTGACACACAGGTAATAGCCACTTAGGCTTTCAATTGTTGTTAAGGAAAGCAACCATTCTTTATTTCTACAACTGTGTCTCCCTTTTCATTATCTCCACGCAAGGGTGCATGGCTCATTATGCAAGCTTTTTGTTGATTTGTTGCAAAAAAGAGCAGAAGTTTATGTTCATCTTCCTTCAGCCTGCTGCTCGGCTCGTGTTAACTGATGTTACTCTCATTTGTAATTCAGTTTTTTCTTTGATTTCTGTGAAATTCTTTGCTCTGAACATTGGGTTGAGCTATTCTGTTCCTTGTTTTTTATCTCTCTCTTTTTTGTCTTTACTATTTATTTATTTTTTCATCATTTTCCCTCATTTATTTCGGAAAGAAAATATCTTACCAGTTTTTCATACCTGTATAATCATAACTATATTAAAAAGAAAAACATTGTACCAAGCTAAGACAATATGAATAATTWTCAAATGTGCTGTTGAAGCAATAAATTGGAAAAATTGCTCTTATCTAAAAGAGAAAATGAGACTTTCCCTTCAAAATGCTAAGTTGTAAATTTAAATATGTTTTGATGCTGTATATTCATTAAAATTCTGAACCGTTCACGAAAAAGGATTGACCTTTGGGACCTTTCTATAAAACATGGTTTRCCCTGACTGCTTTAAAGAGCAGCTGCAGTTCCATTAAATCTGTTTATTCCAATGGGTGACATAATTGTGACCTCAAATTGTTTTATTTTTTTCTGTTCCACATTTTTTACTGAATATTGTAAAAAAGTTGCCTCCTTCTACATTTGTGGTCTTCCAACAACTTTTTGTTCCTTTTTCAGAAATGAATATGCTTCTCATTCAGACATTTTATGATTCATTTGCTGTCCCGTCCTATATTAGATGATGTAATTCAAGTGGTTTTGTTTTATTTTATTTATTGTTATTTAACCAGGAAAGTCCCGTTGAGATCTCAGATCTCTTTTTCAAGGGAGGCCTGGGCCTTAAGGCAACCTATTGTACAAGTTTTTAGCGGTGGGGAAACCAGAGTACCCAGCAATTTAAAAACCTGAACATGCTCACACTTGGTTATTTTACCTTTAACACTAAATCAAAGACACAAATCAAAACGTCCATATTCTGATTTTAATGTGTGGGTTTGGTTTAAAGAGAACATAACATTTGTTTGAAACAGCTGTCTCATTTCCTTATAGATCTAATGAAACAAAACAAGCACCAATTTCTTTAGCAGTAATAATAAAGTTAATGTAATTCTCTGTAACTGAGCTGTATGTGAGTAAATATCATTTACTGCCTCATGTTTTGATGAAAGTAACAGTTTCCCCATCAATCATCAAGCACAACTAAAGGGCAGTGGAGGAAACCTGTGAGTTTAAACATATACAGCAAAAAAAAACTGCATTTCTCTCCCTTTTTTAGGGCTGAACCCATTCTGCAGAGAATAAAAGAGGACAGAACTCGCATAATATCCCCATCATTCGACAACATCAAATACGACACGTTCGAGATCGAAGAGTATCCGCTGTCCTCTCAGGGCTTTGACTGGGAGCTGTGGTGCCGCTACCTCAATCCCCCCAAGTCCTGGTGGCACAAGAGCAACAAAAGTGCACCTATTCAGTAAGTAAACACAACTCTGAGCCTAATTGGTATCTGGCATTAATCTCTTGACAAATGTCAGCCTGCAAAAAAGGCCATTTCTGCAGCTGTATGAGCGAGTCATATTGTGCACCGTCACATATTGTTTTTTCCGTTGCCCTTGTCGTCACTATAGAAACTGAAAAAATAAACAAAGCTAACATTCATCTTCTGAAATCTTCCAGGAGCCCGGCTCTGATTGGCTGTTTTGTGGTGGACAGGCTGTACTTTGAGGAGATCGGTCTGCTAGATGAAGGCATGGAGGTGTACGGGGGAGAAAATGTGGAACTGGGCATCAGGGTGAGTGATGACGTCATGCCTCAGGCCATGAACTCTAATGTTCATTCAGGTCACATGTGAGCAGCTTTAGGAGATAACAACACTTGATGTTTGTAGGATGAAGGACATGAAAAGCTAATATTTTACATAAACTCACTGGAGAAAAATAATGTGACTTAAACATTGTGTGCCGTGTATAGGAAGTTGGATATACAGTAGTTGCAGTGTTTTAAGAGATTTGCAGCCTCGACAGTTTGACAAATTACCTTTTTTTTCAGTGAACTAATCATCTTTTTTCAGATTGCTCCAGTAATTGAGTCATTTAAAACWACAGCACTCCGCTCCTCATTTCTTTTGCTCAGTTCCAAACCTTTAAAACTGGTTTGTAATTCATCCACTAAGTCAGAAAATAATTCCACCTTAGAGTCCTTGTCAATCCTTCTTGCTTCAGGATTTTCATTTCATGTGAGAGAGAAGCTGGTGAGGAAAGTCCTTCAAAAAAAATCCCACTGCGCTCTGATTTGTCAGCTCAGTGACCTGATAAGAGACCCCCACTGTTCTGAATTAGCTGTGAGTGCACATCCAGCCATCAACAGTTTAAAAGCCTAATATGCATCAGCATTGCCTCAGCAACATGAAATTTAGGCAGAAACTTTATGTGAAAATGGTGAGAAAGCAGAAAAAATCCCTGCAAATATCAGCATATTTTTATAGCTAAATAACACTGTACAAAATCTTACCTCAATGCATGATCACTATATGTTTTAGTCATAAAAACGTGTGTAGTTCCCTTCTAATAAAACTGTTGTTTTCATTCATGAATGAGGACAACCAGCTTGGATGGTCAATAACCAGGTTTATCCCAAAGAGTTTTGGGAATTGCACGGTGGAAATTATCAAAAACGGATGAGTTAAACTGAGGAAATTAACCTAGATGCATTTAAAACGCTGCCAAAAAATGCACTTTATGTATTTTTTTCACTGTACTGTAATAATTTGTCCAGCAKCAGCTCTGTCTATAAGCAGAAAATTACTTGGCATATGTTCAGTTCAACAGTACGACAAGCAGATGGGTCAGAGTGAGAACTACCCTCCTTAGGAATTGCTAATGATAGCACACACAAACTGCAGATAGATCATTAGAGGAGCCAACAGCCTGTTCAATAACAGCAAGATGTGAGGAACTTTTCTTCTTCAGCTACACACGCACTAGAAATTACTGAAAGAAGCAAATTTATAACAAGACTCCAAATGTCGATAAATATCTTTTCTAACCAGTGACAAGAAAACATTATTTTCTATTTCTCTCCAGAATTAACTTATTTTTAAAACTGTCTGACACAATCATGTCCTTATTCACAGCTTTATGGCCGGGAACATTGCTGGCTTTATTGAACAGAGGCCTACAGCTATCACATTAGTTCTAATATGAACCAGGTTAAAGCATCACGTTGAGTCTCTGTGCAGTTCTCAATGTCCTCACATGAAAATAACAACTTGAAATAAACCTCAAGTTTTATTTAGCCAAAACAGTGTTTYTACTGGCAGAGCCAGACTAAAAAAGCCATGTTTCTTAAAGAAAAGAATATAAATTTTGATCATGAGCTGACGTTTTAACGTTCTGTCAGAAGCAACAGTTTGCAGATTATAGGCTTGTTATAAAACGACAGGACTGTTTTCCAAAAACTCTTTTTGACGAAGCTTTCTAAATATGCTACAAATACCTCATAGYAAAAAGAAGAAAAAACTTTAATGGAATTTTTTTTCCCAAATCAATAAGTGACCTTTTGATTGCTGCAATAAAGCCATRACAGCCCCCTGAAACCAAACGTAGCCCTCTGCTGATTAAAGTTCAGTTTTACTCTGTAGTTTACTTGGTACGATTTCTGCTCTGTCGTTCACTGATTTTGTGAAGCTGGACTGAAGAAGCTCAATCCTTGCTCAGATAAAACTGGAGTTTATTAGAGTTCTGTTGTGACTTTAACTCACTGTAACACAGCAAACTGAAAGCTCCAAGACCGCAGAACTCTGTCTTGTCCGCATATTAGAAATCCCATAGAGCAGCAGCGGGCTCTGTCTGCCTGCCTGTGGCACATTGGCCGTGCCCCCCCCCCCCCCCCCCCCCCCACACACACACACACACACCTCCAAACCACCTGCCAGCACACAGACAGACTGTTGACGTATCCTCAGAGATGCACTTAAAGCAGGCCAGCAGCTCCAGGCCTTGGCTGTGACTTTAAAGACCTTCAGGAGTAAGAGGATGAACTGAATTCCTGATTTCTGTTCACATTTAGTCACCGTGCTCTTGCTACAGCTTTATCAGGTGGACATCCTTCAACTTAAAAGAACAGAAACTACAAATTGTGCTGGAAAATAGAAAACCCACAACCTGCTTCAAAAAAATACTAGTATTTTAGCTTTACCATATTGCCATTAAAGTTCAAAAAACCACATTTACAAAACCATTTTTGTWAAACAGCTCCTTTCAATCTCAGAATATATAACAGATCACCGTAATGCAGCAAGTGAAGTTGTTGTTTTTTTTATTATTATTTGTGCTGAACTGTTTGACATGCAAACATTCCACACTTAATGCAAATGCAAACAAAAGGAAGGAGGTTTTTGCATTTCTATGTATAATTCAAAAAGCTTAAAACATGTTAGTTGGATGTAATTCTAGTCCCATGAGTGTTTCACAGGTAATAAATTTTAAACATCRACACTAAGGTGATGATGGGTAAAATATTCTACAAGCTGAAATKTGAAAACGATCAAACCAAAACAAAACTACGAAATAATGAACCAGAATCAATGACAGCAAATTGCATTTTTACATTTGGTGTTTAAGTTCCACTTAGCATACCGGCTAAAGTAAAGATCGGCTGATTTATTGCAAAAAATGAAATGAATTAAAATGAAAAACTAAGTTTATTCCTGAAGATGCATATAGCAAGGAAAATAAATACAAAAAACAACAAAAAAGTAGAAACTCATACCTTTTTWAAATTGACTAGATGATGATTGAGCTTCAGATTTTTATTCCCACCAGAGCAAGAAAGTCTGCCATTATCTGTAAACAGGATACCCACTGGGAACACTGGAAGCCCAGTGTTATTATGCTCCAGAAGGAATAAACATCCTGAGAGTCTCAAATCGATCCAATGAATACAGGGAAGTTATGAGGATGGTTTCCTGCAATAATAAGCTGAAATTGAATCCTGATATGTGTGATCAGTGTCCAGGATAAATTGGATTGTAGCGGCTGATTCCCAGTCTAAATTTGTCCTGTTTGGGTTTTACATAACACTATGTTCAATTGTTTCCTGAGATGAATGTGCTGCAAATCTAATATGCAGGTTCCTCTGTGGTCTTTCATCAAGTCAGACTGTGGAGAATACACAGCAAATTACAGCAAGAACCCCAAAACAGAATTATCAGTCGAGCGATTTCCCAAAACAACTGTAAATACTTGATATTGCTCTTCTGAAGCCAGTATGGAACAATGCATCAAACGAGGACCAAAACGAGTATCTTTCTCAACCAGCAAGGTTGCGTTGAAGACTGAGCATCACCGAGGGCTATAAAAAAAACAATTATGCAGGAGCTCCGTGTGCACATTYTTCATAGAAGTGCAATAAAACACCATTACTGTCCGAATAATTATTTACCCAGCCAATTTCTGCCAAGTTTTCAGCAGGCAGTTTGTTTTCAGTGTGAGCAAAGRGGTCTCAGAGTTTTAAATGTGGAAYGTGCAAATGGAGTACGCAATAAATTACACTCAGATCTTCATCAACTCTGATACTGAAGGTTTCAATTACATTCGTCATTTTTAGTCTATAAACACAATCAAGTTTTATTGTGATTAATCACGACTTTGTGCAATTGCAAGGACTTGCCAATTATTTAAATTATGTCATCTCTAAAAAAGTATTAGTTGTTCTCTAATTATTTTAAATACATTTATACTAAGTAGAAATGTGCTATTTTTCTACTAATCAGGGCTTCTTTAATAACTAACTTTAAATGATGCAGTTGTTGCTGTTTTGTGAACTTTAAAAACATCCTTTTTAGACTTTTAGTGACTTTAAGGGTGTGTTCACACCTGATACATCTGAGTTTCTTTCCCGTGTTGGTCCGGACCTTGTYTTTAGGTGTGAATASACTCATGCAAACCCTGGTGCWGACCAAACAACTGGACCGAGACACACTTTGAGGTGGTCTCAGTCCYCTTCAGAATGAACTCTGGTGCGGTTCTCTTCTGGTGTGAATACACCCTTAGTAAATCAGTGGATCACTTTGTTCAGAAGTTTCTTGTCGATCGAACAGACTGCAGCGTTGGTAAGTCTTATCAGCTGCTGGTTTCAATTAAGACACAAGAAGGAGGCTAATTAAATGAAATAAATAATAAGATTTTCGCCATCATCATGTATCTGGAACAGTCTTGTGCTTAGATTGTTTGTGACATTATCAGTTAAATATTGTCTGGTGAAAACTACACTTGTTAAATCAGCTGGAAAGCAGCAGTTTCTTCGCTCTGATTTGTATACTGTGGCCAATACATTTTTATTCTCATCTGGAACAGACTGCAGATCAGTAGTCTACCCATACTGTCCTGCATAATCATCAGTAATGCTTGTTTCAATGTCATTAAAGAAAGACTGGGTCAAAACATTTATATTGCAGGTCCTTAAAATCAGAAAATCAATGAGTTTTTTTATTAGATATGTTTCATTTTGTTCAAAGAATGTGTTATCACTCAGCTCAGCTTTTTTTACCATGCAGCACAAAGTTATCTGCACAGCAAAACCAAGACATAAACTAGCACGGCAATAAAAAKCATTTTGTTTAGCACCATAGCAATATGTTCACAGATATAAACTGTGACAGTGGTTATAAACTTTTATTTACTTTAGGGCATCATAATGGCTTAGTGGTTACTATTGCCCCACAGCAAACAAGTTCTAGGTTCGAGTCCCGGTTTGAACCTGGTGGAGTTTCATTTACTCCTCAGTTTGCAC